TTTTCATTTTCTTCAATTCACTTTTCTGTCAATTCACAGACCAAAGGCAACACAGTACCTTCCTCCTTTAAAAATGACTTCAGTTAATCATGCACATGCTCTTCAAAAGAGCCCATGTAAATCTTAAGCTCATCCAGATGTGTAGATGCTGACTCTTCCAGCAGTATGGATCAAAGGAGATGTTGATGATGTCTTCCTGTGTAATGTCAGATAAGGTGGCTGTTGTTTACAGCTTTCCTTTCAAATTTAGAAACAGGGACTTTTCTCATCTTATTTTCTTCTGGCTACAGAAAGGTCTCTAAGCTATTTCAGTCCACTTCAGAGATGCCAAGAAATGCAAGACTTTGGGCAGCCTCGTGAGCATTTGGCAGCTAAACCATTGTAAGTGTCCAGCTCTTTTAGAGGACACTTGATGCTAGCAATGTTTCTTAGGGAACTCTGTGAGCAGCAAGCTTTACATCTTTAAAATGGCTTGCGCTCTACTCGATTATTTAACATGGGTTTTCAATGTGTTGACTGGTGCCTCAAGAGACTTGAACACAGAAGTGTGGCTCATTAAAGTCTTTCAAAGGAAAGGGAGAGATGTTTGTGTTGCCTAGGAGACTTTGCTATTGATTCACTGTATTTGGGCACCTGTCCTTACTGACAGAGAACATTGTAATGCCACAAGCCAAAGTGATGGTGACACTACAGTGACAAGTTCTAAAAGGAAGAATCATTGCCATATAAATTTGGTTCATTAAACCAGTATGTCCTGTAATGCACAATGGATGTCACTGCCTAGTATGAGCAGAAATGGTGGCATTGTGACCCGTGTGAACCAGTTAAAATATACCTTGTCCAGAGCATGGAAAAGTTCCTTTTATCAGTCAATCAATAAATTATCTTCTTTATATTCTGCATTTTCCCCAAAAGTGAGACTCAAAGGAGATTATCACACATGCCATTTTTGCCCGATCTGGGCACATGATGGGATTGGGATGAGATGGGCGTTGTCACATATGAAACTGCTGCTGTGCTGCCGCCTGACCACCACCCATCCCTCAGCTCTGCTTAGCCTCCAGATTTTGGTGGTACCAAAGATTTCTGTACTACCAAAATTGGGTGGCTATGCATGGCTGAGGGATGGGTGGCAGCTCAGCAGCAGTTTCGGGTGTGATAACACCCATCCCAACCAGTCCCAGCCCATGTCCAGATCAAGCAAAAAGGCGTGTGTGATAATCTCCAAAGTGACTTAAAGAATAAAAACTGACACAAGTATAACCACACAAAAGTTAAGATCAAAATAATATTAAAGTGTCCAAGGAAGTAAAACCATATAAAATGCACAGATTAAAATGGTATAGTATATAAAACAATCAGTACTAAAGCAACTGCTGGAATAGAAAATTCATGATGGTGGGTAGACAGCGAGGAGGAAGGCTACCCAGCCTTGCAAGGAATGGAGTTCCAGAGAACAGGAGCAACCACAGAAATGACCCTCTCTTGTGTTTTCACCACATGTGCCTGTGAAGGTGGTGGGATTGAGAGATGTTCCTCCCCTAAAGATTACAGAGTTTGGATAGGTTCATATGGGAAGATATAGCCCTTTAGATAGTCTGGACCAGATCTATATAGGGCTGTATTGATCATAACCAGCACCTTGATTTGTGCCTGGTAATGGACCAGCAACTAGTGGAGATTTTGTAACAAAGAAGTCATATGTTCCCTGCAGCCAGGCTGAGTTAACAATCTAGCTGTAGTTCTTCAGATCAACTGGAGTTTCTGAAATCTCTTCAAACAACATTAATACAAATGTGATGTAAAGTCAGACATCCTACGGAACAGGCACAATTGGCACACTAGTTCTAATTGTGCAAATACACTCATAGCCAGTCTGATCACCTTCTGCATATAGTCCCAGGCAGCAAAAGTGTCCTGGTCCAGTGGTGTCTAGCCTTAATATTTGGTTTAATTGCTGTACTGTTTCATAGTTACTTTGTGTATTGCTGAGTTCACTGTTATTTTAACCTTTTGATTTATGAGCTATCTTGGGAACATTTGGCACTAAAGAATGGGATAAAAGAGAATGGAGTAAATTAGCAAATTAATAGTTCTGTCCCTATGCAGCCATAGTAGCCAGTTGTCTCCTGCTGAGGTCCCTGGCTCAGCCTTCTGCTCTGTTACTTTCAGCAATCCTTGGCCCATTATTTTTGTCAGACAGCTGATTGTTTAGCTATACCTCAACTTGTAAACCTCCTTCCTTTCTCCATTTTATTTGGGACAGAAGTAGGCATGGCAAGATTCTCCACATCTGGTTGGCTAAAACCATCAAAAGTCCTAGCTGGCTTAGCCAATTTTGAGGAATGTAAGGAGCTGCAGTTCAGAAACATCTGGAAGACCACATGATTCCACCCTGGTTGAAGGTGATCATTTACCCATCCTCAAAAGAGGGGGGGGGAACGGACACAGATCTGCACAAAATTTGCATGTGCTAGTTCATATGTGTAAATAAACATATAAAAACAAATACTTTTTATAGAACTACAGTATACCATGAGAACCAGTATAGTGTAATTGTTTCAGAGCTGGACTAGAACTCCAGGAGGCCAAGGTTCACATCCCTGCTCAGCCATGAAAACCCATAGGGTGGGCTTGCACAAATCCCATCGTTTCAGCCTTAGAAGATAGCAGACCTCCTCTGAATAATCTTGCCAAGAAAACCCTATGTCATGGTTGCCATAAATCAAAGTCAATCTAAAGGCATATAATAACAACAACATTAAACCTTGCCATAGTGAGGAAGACTGTGCTCAGTCTGCTGCAAAGGTATTAACTTTAGGAATGGGCAACTTTGGCTGATTTTCTAATCCCACTATTCTACCACAGGCTGTATCTCCCCTTCCTTTCTGCCCCGATTGCTGAGCAGAGGGGCGGGTTACAAATAAAAAATTATTTTATTATTATTTTATTATTATTATTATTATTATTATTATTATTATTATTATTTTCTGCTAATATTGGAAATGGCCAGAGATCCAATTCTTTGTCACTCATCCATCCCTACCCACTTTAAAACTTAAAACAAAATTCATCAGTATCATGTGCCTTATCTTAAAAGAGAATCATGTCCCCAGGGGCCCTTTCATACTATATATAATAGAGCAAGTACATTTCTATACTGCTTATCAGTGAACTAAGCACTCCTTTAGCAGTTTACAATGTGTAAACTAATTGCCCCCAACAAACGGGGTACTCATTTTAGTGAACAACAGAAGGATGCAAGGCTGAGGGGACCTTGGAGCCCCTGGGATCAAACTCACAACCTTGTGGCTGCAGTGCAAGCATTTAACACTGCATCACCAGGGCTTCTTATTACACACAAATAACCCTCTGGTCCCACTTTAATGGCCATGGTTCAATCCTGGGGAACCCAAGTAGTTTGGCAGGAGATCATTGGAATTCTCAGCCAGAGACCTGTAGTGTTTCCCTAAACTATGAACAACAGGAATCCAAAGGATGCAATTATGGCAGTTAAAATGTGTGCCTTCAAGTTATTTCTGACTTATGGCAATGCTAAGGTGACCTTATCATGGGGACATCTTGGCAAGATTTGTTCAGAGTGGGTGTGTTCTTGCCCTCCTTTTAAGGCTGATAGAGAATGGCTTATAGGGATTTGAATCCTGCTCTCCAGAGTCACAGTCCAGCACTCAAACCACTATCACACTGGCTCACTAAAATGGAATCATAGCATTACAACTGTATAGTGTGCCAGGGGCCTTGGAGCATGACATTTCATGGGAATGTATGTTGAGGGGAGGATCCTGTGAAACAGGTGGGGACTGCATGCAGCCCATCAGTGAAATAAAGATGCTTTCATAATAGAAGACTGTCCTCTGACAGATCCTTCAATACACAACTGATCTCTGTAAAGTAGGCCACATGAACAATTTGCTTCTGATAGGTATGCGACAGTCATTCCTAACCTTCCTCAATCTCTGCTGCTCTCTTCTTCAGGAATAGGAAAATGCCTCCTATCTAATGCAGCATCAAAGGTCCTGTCACTTTTTCAAAGTGACCAAGTCCAGTTCTCCCAGAAGCAAGATGTTTTTCATTTCAAGACAGGGGGGGTAAGTCTGACCTTGCACAGAGATCTGAGATTCCATAGGTTGTTTGGGACCTTTTCTACTTTCTCTTCTTTCTGATCCTGCCACTTTAAAAATACACATTGCATGGGGGATGAAAGAAGGAACGAGTAATTCCTTGGCATGTCAGCTGCTCCAGTTAGTCACCCTGTACTGCACTCATATTACAAAAAGTCTAAAAAGCACATGTGAGGCATATCCACACTGTGCATTTAAAACTGGTGTATCAATTATTATCTCTCCCAGGAAACACTGGAAACATGAGAGATTTTTTTCTTCTTCTTAAAAATATATATATTCTATCTATCTCTCTACTCACAGCAGCTTACAGTGATTAAACACATAAGATAGACAACATTTTTCTACAATTAAACCATTAAAATCAAATAGAAAAAATAGAAAAGGGGGACCAAACCAGCTAGCCAACCATTTCTTTATTTATATTCCACCTTTCTCCCAGCCTAGGGCTTACAGTGGCTTACAAAAAGGCATAAAATACAATAAAAACATATATAGTTAAAAACATACAAAATTAAGATTAAAACAATACTAAGTAATAACAGAATTAAAGCCATTTTTTTAAAAAAAAATCTTAAAGATTAAAAACAGTACGGCACCATAAGAAGCCCTTTTCTTGTTTCCAAAAGCTTGTTGGAAAAGAAAGGTCTTAACTTGCCCTGGAAAAGTCAAGAAAGAGCCATCCTAACTTCCCTAGGGAGGCAATTCCAGAGTGTGGAAGCAGCCACAGAGCCAAGAATGTACCGGAGGAAGAGATTAGCTCTTCCTATACATTTCTGCCTAGGCTTACCATGTCTCAGCATACCAACTGAAGTCCCAGGGAACTGTTTCTCTGTGGAGATAGATCTCAAAGTGTGCGCTAGTGTGACGTAGTGGTTTGAGTGTCAGACTAAGACTCTGAAGACCAGGGTTCGATTCCCGGCTCAAGTCACATTCTCTCAGCCTCAGGGGAAGGCAATGACAAATTGCTTCTGACTAAATCTTGCCAAAAAAAAAACCCATGATAAAGTTGCCTTAGGATTGCCATAAGTCAGAAATGTCTTGAAGGCATACAACAACAAGAGCTGGGAGGGGGGGTATTTTATTTTATTTGCTCTTCTTTCATGTGGCTGCTCTCACTCTCTGGAATGCCATTCCACAAGAAGGTAGGCTGGCCCCCTCCCTGTTTCTCTTTTTATCAGCAGGCAAAAGCCATCTTGTTTCAGCAGGCTTTCAATATGTAACCATGCCAGGGAGGCTTTTTTATTGATGTGTGCGTGATTTATTTATTTATTTTTATGTGTTTTAAAATGATTTTATATTCTTTTAATTATGATTATTTTAATTGATTTTAAGATTGTACTGCTGGGAGAAAGGTGGCTTATGAATTAAATAAATAAATAAATATTTTATTTTATTTTGCATGTGAACTGGTATTAATTCCTGGGCCATTTCCAGCTGGCATGAGGGCTTTCTGGTCCAGCAAGAAGTGTTTGCATTGCACTTGTGCAATATAAAGCCAAGGGAAAGGTGAGGGAAATAAGGAAAGAGATGGTAGATATATTCATTTTCAACACCCACCATCTGAAGTGAGGATGATGATGATGATAATTATATATATTTGCATCCCACTCTTTTCTCAAAACTGGGACCCAGAGCAGCTCACAATATTAAAAGAACAGTACAATTAATTATTACAATATCAATGGCAGTTTGCAGGTAGCCTTGCAACTCATGAGCCTTCTTGTTGAAGAAGCTCTGGTAGCAGCAGTATAGATGGTGGGGGACCTCTTCATGAGCTGACAGTAAGACTTTTGCAAGCTCTGTTAAAACTGTAGGGCTGAGGAAGGGATGCCACATGCCATGTGTAATGTAGGTAAAGGAGGCCAGTCCAAGCAGGAATGGTGGTAACTCCTGTAGATACTGGCCACATTTTACCATTTGCCTAGCCATCAAAAAAAAAAAACAAATTGCCTGGTTTACTTTTCCCCAAATTTGGCTCACTATATTTTTTGGTTGTGGTTCAGTGTGGTATAGTGGTTTGAGCATTGAACTATAACTCTGGAAACCAGGGTTTGAATCCCAGCTTGGCCATGAAACCCACTGGTGACCTTGGGGAAGTCACATGTTCTCAGGGGAAAGCAATAGCAAACCTTGTCTGAACAAATCTTACCAAGAAAGCCCCATGATAAGACCTTAGAGTCACCATAAATCAAAGACAACTTGAAGGCACCCAACAATAATAAGGTAAAGATTATGGTGCTGGTGGTGGTGATGATGACAGCCCCCAGAGTGTCCAAGCTAATGTGGTCATGGTCATGCTTCCTGAAGGCATCTGAGAATTGTAGACCTTCCAGGCACACAACAGCAGCAGCAGCAACAACAACAACAACATAGTTCTTGGCAGTATGGTTTTACTCATATTCTGTGTCCATTGTTTTCATGACCATCTCCACAACTAGCTGATCAAAAAGAAGTTCCATCTCTCACTTCCCACAGCTCTACCACTGTGACCTCACAAGGGCCGAGTGACAGGTTTTCATCTTGAAATCCCGGGGAATGGGATAATGATCACTGGCAACCTAAATTCTGCCACACTATGACAGCACCTGCCAAAAAATCTTACTTTAACTGCACTTTTGTTAGATTTAGCCTAAATTGAACACCATACAAGCACAGAGCTTTGTTGCATAGCTGTGATTCCTTTGCACTGTTCTTGTTGTTGTTGTTCTTGCTGCAGCTGTTGATGTGTGCCTTCAAGTCATTTCTGACTTATGACAACCCTAGGGTGAAGCCTTTCACAGAATTTTCATGGCAAGATTTCTTCAGAGGAGGCCTGTCATTGACTTCCACCGCAGCTGAGACCATATGACTTGCCCAAGGTCATCCATAGGTTTCATGGCTGAGCTGGGAATTGAACTCTGGTCTCCAAAATCTTAGTCCAACACTCAAACCACAACACCACTGTTCCTAGTCTTTCTCAAATTTCTTACCATCTTGCCATGGATTGCCGTTTTTCTCCCAGTAGGCTCGCTCAGAGGATTATTAACTGTTGTGATCTGTGGGCTGTGCACTAGCATCTCTTTTTCATGCAGAGCATCTGTGTTTTTTACACAGCTGTTCTACTTTTGATGTTGTTTTCTTCCAATGTCTGGTTTTCTCAATGGAAGGAAAAATAAAGATGGCATTCATAAATTCACCAGAGCACATGTACTAGGAACAGGACAGGATTTGATGGTAAAAAGTGCCAGACCTGCCTGAATTTCCTCAAAGACTTCTACAACTGGCAGAATAATTAGGAAATGTAAGGAAGTTAAGGGAGTCAG